AGTCCAGTCTCTTCGTCATGCATTAGTCATGCATCTTCAATCTTCCACAGGAATGAATATATTGTGGAAGGTGTTCTTAACGCCGAGTATCATTGGACTGAGCTGAGCTGGGTCGGGACGTGGGTGCATTCTTTGGTACGTTCACAAATAGCGCGAACCCGATTGGTCAAAATGCTGGGTAACATCGATAGGGCAGCAGATCCGTACTAATGTGCTGCAATGTAACAAACGGCAACCATTAGGAGAGACTCATGGGTGGAACTTTCACTTATAACAATAAAAGCATCTAGCGTAGGGTGGCCCGCGGTTCGCATCACACGTATCCAATCAGACAAGACAGAAAACCAAAACGAAATATGGGCCAGTGATAAGAGAAGCGAATTCAAGAGTTTTATATCATCAGTATTGACAGTATTGAAAAAAAGTCAAATTTGACCCGTAACGTTCTTTCGCTGTACAACAACCATTTGGAGGAAGTACATGCGTCTTGATGCCCAGAATATCTCGAAGTGGTATGAGGAATTGATCGCTGAGTCAAAACAATCATCAAGTTGAACCAGGTGCATGGCACTGCAGCAGAAAGTGGAGCATGTTTCGGAAGGCTGAGATCTTCCGGTTGGCATCAGTTGCCCAATAACGACCGCTCCACTGAGGCGCTGTATTGATACTACACAGAGGAAGTGGGTAAGGAGGAACTGGCGTTATCTTCGTATTGACATGCAATATGTAGGTGACACAGTTCTCTATGGTAGCGAATCGTCGACAGCAATCTCTCAACCGGAAAAACAACCGAAAGGGAATGTACTTACAAAACTCTGCGGTAGACCAGCGGGAAATATTTAACCCCTATAGGGTCATGTTCAGATAAAGTAATAAAATAATAGATAATAATCAAACGTTTCATTACCAATCGAGGTGACATCATCAGTGCGTTATTGGGGAGCGTAGTGGTGCGTGGCGGTGGGTTAGTGGTTGTGCGTTGAGTAGTGTTAGGTTCTGCTACCCGGGGATGACCTTTGATCGCGATTAGTTGTTCGGTCGGACGGTTCCATTGGTTGCTCTGTTATCCTGTGTCCTTATTCGCCGATGCCCACGTGATCTTTGAGCGTGGGATCACCTGTCGTCGTAATCTGGTCGACGCTGTAGTGAACTTTGTCCTTCGAACTGGTGCATCGAACTAAATCCAATTTACGCATCTTTACGTGGAAAAGACCAACATCTCAACCGGAACACTCAAATAAAGAAACAAGGAACTCCTTGGAATCCAGTCAATAAAGGTCACAAGCCGGGACTTGGAAGAACAGAGTTCACTCCAGCATCAATCAGATTACGACGACAAGGGATGCCACGTCAAAGATCACGTGGGCATCGGAAACCATTGGTAGTTGAACGCTGAGTGACCCTGGTCGGTTAGAACGAAATGGAGGGATCTCGACAAATACGCTCACTTGCGTATCAACTGGGTTTTTACAGGAGACTCAAGTGAATCTCTCGTTTATGATAATCTTCAATTGAATGTGCTGCACAAAGGCCACTCCGATATCGCAGAATATTTTCATAAAAGAAACCACTCACAGGGTTACTGGAAATTCCTCGATAGTTCATGACTGGTTCCGCCCTTATTGGGGCTCATCAAGTGGACGCAAATTGGATTCAAGTAGAGCATAAGGTTGGCGGAAACTCGGGGACTGCCTGGTGAGTCACAAGAAGGGCGAAATCCATCGTGGGCTGTCGCATAGTTTTTGGCAGCCTTGTGAGTAGTATCCTTTATGAAAATACACTGCGATATCTGGAACATCGTACCAATTGAAACATGAGGCGGTCTTTGTGAAGCACATCCAGTTGTAGAACATCATAAACGAGGGATTCAGTTCAGTCTCTCGTGAAAACCAAATTGATTTGCAAATGAGTGTATTGCTCGAAAACAGTCCGATTTGGGTTCAAGTAGAACATAAGGTTGATGGAAACTCGGGGACTGCGCCTACTTGATGAGCCCCAAGAAGAGAGAAACCGGTCGTGGGCTGTCAAAGAGTTTTCAGTAACCTTATGAGTAGTTTCCCTTATGGAAATGGTAAGATGTTTAAAATACACTTTGCAAACTCATAGCACGGTTAGACTCAGTTTATTCCACTCAGGTTTTATTAAAAAAAACCTGTCTGATGGGCGCCATATAGTGCGACCGACACATGAGGACTGATATAAGCTTTCGACAGAGCACAAGAATAAGACAAAAAAGTTGCTTTTGATCCAACCACAGGGTTTAGTTGCACCATAGGCTAGTCCCACCCCGAGTCGCGAAGAACAGAGTTCACTCCAGCATCAATCAGATTACGACGACAAGGGATGCCACGTCAAAGATCACATGGGCATCGGAAACCATTGGTAGTTGAACGCTGAGTGACCCTGGTCGGTTAGAACGAAATGGAGGGATCTCGACAAATACGCTCACTTGCGTATCAACTGGGTTTTTACAGGAGACTCAAGTGAATCTCTCGTTTATGATGGTCTTCAACTGAATGTGCTGCACAAAGGCCAATCCGATATCGCAGAATATTTTCATAAAAGAAACCACTCACAGGGTTACTGGAAATTCCTCGATAGTTCATGACTGGTTCCGCCCTTATTGGGGCTCATCAAGTGGACGCAAATTGGATTCAAGTAGAGCATAAGGTTGGCGGAAACTCGGGGACTGCCTGGTGAGTCACAAGAAGGGCGAAATCCATCGTGGGCTGTCGCATAGTTTTTGGCAGCCTTGTGAGTAGTATCCTTTATGAAAATACACTGCGATATCTGGAACATCGTACCAATTGAAACATGAGGCGGTCTTTGTGAAGCACATCCAGTTGTAGAACATCATAAACGAGGGATTCAGTTCAGTCTCTCGTGAAAACCAAATTGATTTGCAAATGAGTGTATTGCTCGAAAACAGTCCGATTTGGGTTCAAGTAGAACATAAGGTTGATGGAAACTCGGGGACTGCGCCTACTTGATGAGCCCCAAGAAGAGAGAAACCGGTCGTGGGCTGTCAAAGAGTTTTCAGTAACCTTATGAGTAGTTTCCCTTATGGAAATGGTAAGATGTTTAAAATACACTTTGCAAACTCATAGCACGGTTAGACTCAGTTTATTCCACTCAGGTTTTATTAAAAAAAACCTGTCTGATGGGCGCCATATAGTGCGACCGACACATGAGGACTGATATAAGCTTTCGACAGAGCACAAGAATAAGACAAAAAAGTTGCTTTTGATCCAACCACAGGGTTTAGTTGCACCATAGGCTAGTCCCACCCCGAGTCGCCATTAACTGGACTCCGAAACTGACAAGTCTGTGTCCACACCAGCTTCTAAAAATATCACCACAGTTTCGCGTATTGTTCTACCAAACGGATTTCCACCTGGATGTATTTGAAGAATCGGTGACTGTGGAAAACGCAGGCATCATACAGTTGCGGTGGGTCAGAAGTCAGGAGGAGAGTAATGACAAACGACCGGAGCGAAATCCCATGTTGTCAACAAGATACGGTCCACACACGGACAGCAGTGGCACAGCAATACACATCGTAAAAAGCCAGACTAACCTCTCGTTCAAGTTCTTCGAACGTCTTGCAGGGGATGTCATGCAGGAGTTCCTGTGAACAGAAAAGGGTTTAAGGTTTAAAAAACACGGTTGGACGTGGCACCGGAATTCGAGAGGTGGATCTTGTGGACGAGGGAAATCACTGTATGCGTCAGATGCGGAGGTGATCCGTGTGACAGATATCCTGTTACCGTAAGACTATAGACTTTTCAAACCTCCCACTGGCAAGTGTCCTTGTGCCGTGATACCCCAACAACTTGCCACGCTAAAACGTCATTTCCAACTGGCTTGAGTTGGTGGCATGGGAACCAGTAAAACTAGTACCGATCGTTAGGCTAGGCTGGGAGAACTCAACGGAGGAGGCAAACCCGAAGTGAAATATACTCACCAGATGAAGAGCCAGTGCCAATAATGCGACTCATCGCAATCCAGCCCTGTCGATCGGAGAGAATTCAATTCACAGCGACTATACAACGGAGATGGGCTGTCGTTGTGAACTGGTCACAAAAATTGCCTGTCGGTGTCAAAGCGATTACCATCATCTTCAACAAGCCGAACCAAAACGCTCACAAAGTCCTGGGTGTGTTTGGTCTTACTAACCTCGGTCCTCGTGACCAGGATAGAGAGACTGTCATGCCTCACTTCCGAACTGGAATTACGAAAGTATGATAATGTGATTGTTGCCCGATCGTGATTCACATGTCACGTGCTTGTGGTGGAAAACAGCGGGCGAAATGGTGCCATCTCATATAACGTGACCTGATATCATAGTCCACAAGTATGAGAGCAGCGTCCATTAAACAATTGGTAAGAACGGCTAAATTGTCGAAGAGTGCTCTATGAATGAATACTGGTGAGAACGACATGGACGCAGGTTTAGTGAAATGATTTCAGTCCCACGTTAAGATTACGCCTTGCTCTTTGACTTTACTTCCATAAAGTATAATTACTGAATTCAGGATAGCTGAGCGTTTAATGAGAGCTATTCAGGAAGGCTACACAGTTAATAAAAACCCAAATCCACCAACGGCCCCAAATATGCGGGGTTTCCTGTGGACTGCGTGTTCTGGCTGGTGAATGACCCCTGGAACAATGCGTCTTCCCGACACGACTGTGGCAGTGCTCAAAGACATAGGATACCAACAGTTTTCTGTGGGTATATTGGCTCCGAAACCAGTGGCGTGGCTTAAACTGGTGAGAACTGTCAGAATTCTGCCACTTCGCTGCAAACGAACCGATCTACCTCAAATGCAGTTCTTCACAAGACAAGCCATCTGGTGCGAGTTGCCTTCGGGAAGAGACTGGACCTCCCCCCACCCGTAACGTGGCGTTGCGTTCACCACCATAACCCACTGAGCTACACCAGGGAGTGTACGTGTGACTTACACAGCCTGCCACACTAGCTTGGTCAAAGGGTAGCAGTCTGACTAACACGGTGTCCTAGTTCTCCAGTTTGGAATGTGTAGAGAATTGTTCCTTAAAATGTAGGCTGCCCTGACGGTCTTTCGCCAACCACCGATGCATTCCTCTTGGGCTTTTGAGACGACGGCTTTGGTTTAGGGCACCAATCATCCTCCTGTCTAAGTCTGAGCGTTCTGGCAGTATTCTAGCCCATGTACGACAATAAATTGTACACTTAGAAATAATCCCATGCCACGTCGTGTGATGCCACCAGCAGGGTCGCCTCACCTGACAGCATTCTGAAGCAAGCTGGACAACAGACTGCCCTTGGATGTACTCACATCGTATCGAAGTGTGCTGTTTTTTTGGAGGACAGCGAAGCACCAGTGCTCTCATCTTGTGTTGCCATCGATGATGATGACGAGTGCAACCGATTCGCGTTTGTTCCCGTTGTCACACACCAGTCCAATAATAGGCTTATTAATTCCGCTGTCCGGTCAAACGCCGATGTGTGTTCGTTAGTGTTACGCGCCGTGATGTTCTCTAGGGAGTAAAAGAGTGGCACCACAGGCTAGTGGATGATGATTTCGCCCTGTAAAGGAAGCTAGTCCACGCTGAAAAGCCAAGAGACAGTGGATAGACTGGTTTCACCTACAGGACAAAATAATCTCCAATAAGACTGCCAAGTCTCCTGCTGAACATTCATACATGCTGTGTGTGCTGGCTCTCGCTGTTTGAAGCAAGAACCAGTAGGTTTGACCACTTAGATGGCGTACCTGGTTGGAAAGAAGCGGACCAGTGATTGTAAGCGTTTTCCACATCGAAATGCGGAATGAAATGGGGCACAAATACGGCGTGCGAACCGGGACCTTTCCTACTTCAGACTTAGCGCACTCGTTATTTGGATAGACCTTCTTCGGAAAATGCAGGTGAAACAAGAAAACAGGGAGGCTAATCAAGAATTTCATGTTGCGCATAAACTTACAGCATCGGGAAAATATTTTCGGTTGAGTTCAACTGGAACACCTGAGAGAGCTGAAATTGAAGAAGAGGGAAAAACATCAGCGGGACCATAGTGTGTGTGTGTGTGTGGGGGGGGGTACGCCATGTATTTCAGTGAATTTCTCGACAGGAGAAAAAGAAAACGGATATACAGCTTGACAGAAACATGGACTACGAAGATTGATGAAGATAATCGGTATAGCCACTGCGAATAGAAGGAACTCTCAAGCACCGATAGTTTGAAGTTACCTAAAGCTAGATTTTACCCAGGAGCGATTGGTTTAGAGTTAAGCGAAACGGGACCGCAGAAAGGAAGTCGAGGAAGACAATCTAAGTGCACGAATTGAAATGAAATAAAACAAATTACACATCTGTAACACCCCTTCGGTGCCTAGCTGCCATGCCGCCCGAAAGAAGCACGAGGGATTGGATACCGCCGGGTTGTCCAAACCTAGACAGGGGAAGACGAGGGATTGGACATCGCCGGGTCGCTCAAACCTAGACAGGGGAAGTCGAGAGGCAGGGGTAGGGTTCGAACCTTCCGGTCAGTAAATCCGCGCTCTAATCACTGAGCCATCTTCTCTGCGTTCAGCACTGTTCAAAAGTTTGCCCTGAGAGGCAGAGCCGTGACTGAAGATTTTTCCCCAGTGATTCTCAGTGAGAGAAGGCCTTTTGAGAGGAATTCCAGGGTTTCAGGAGAATACCGAAGCGGCGTTTGGGTCACCTGACAATCGAGTCTTATTGATTCTGTGATACTGTGTCATCAGTATCCAGTAATTACCTAGGTCCTTCTGATGTTGGTGGTCGGGACGTTTTTTTGGCACCGCAAGAGGGTCCCAACCTGTCCCGAGTCTGTCAACAAACTTCTACACGAATATGCTTGGTCGCATGTTGGAATATTTTTGGGTGCTGTCATTATACTCGTCTCGGGGTTGCACAAATCGATATGAACGGGATGCAAATAAGGATTTTGTCACATCTGACTGAGTCGGCAATCAGTTATCTCTGACTGCTGTCCCTGCTCCAGTGCCTAGTACCGGAAAAAATCACCGACAAGGAACACAATACCCCTATTGCGAACAAGCGAGTGCGAAAGTACAACGGTCTGAAGCTATTTTATTGGAGGAGCACTGGCTGACTTCGGTCCAACGCTGTCTGGCTTTGATGCAAGGCTGTCATGCGGTGCATATTGAGGGGGCGTTGTCGAACCTTGATCCAAAGCTGTTTCGCGCTGTCTGGGCTTGACTCAGGTCTTTCTGGTCGACGTCTAGTGGACTTGAGTTCAAAATATTCAGCGGTCAAAACGCATTAAAGATTCAACCATTTCCTGTCAATTATGGCATCACTAATCTGCGCAGACGAGGCTCCCCGGTATCCGCACAAAAAGGTAAATGATGGGAGAGGGTGATCAAATCAGACCGTTCAGCCATAGCACCTTTTCGGTGCCTAGGGAAGCACGAGGGCTGAGATAGCACCAGGACGCCCAAGCCTAGACAGGAACAGTCAAGCTGCTGAGCTTGGATTTGAACGACGGACGGGAAGCACGAGGGCTGAGATAGCACCAGGACGCCCAAGCCTAGACAGGAACAGTCAAGCTGCTGAGCTTGGATTTGAACGACGGACCTTTCAGTGCGCAAGCTGGCGGCTTAGCGCTGAGCTAGCTCACCGCTTAGCAAAGTAACTGACGGCTAACGACGAGTACCTGACCTGAAACGAAGTCGGGGTGTATATCCCGACTGCTTACTTATTCAGCTTACAGTGTGGTTGGATTCGACCTGGCTACATTGTCAGTTCATTCATACGACATTGGGATTGTATGTCAAGTCTCTGCAAGTTGCTTATCTGTCGAAGCTATTATAGACGCTGCCAAGTATGTTCCTACTGTAGTGCGACGGATGAACTCAATGCACGAATCTGAATCTGAAACTCCTGTAACGCGTGTTAATTTGAGAATCCTGTGGCGGCAAACCAGCCTATATCTGAATTTCGGGGCACTTGTGTATCATACTATAGTACGTGCTACTTGGTTGTACGTCTGTGAGATGCGGCTCCTATGAGTTGCCGGAATGAGACTTTTTGAGGAGTTCGACAGCTATTGTCTCAGAACCATAGCTCATGTAAACTGGTGGTAGCGAATCCGCAACGAGACAAATAAAAAGTGGGTGTTCGGTTGGGCCACAGGAATTTCAGTCCAAAAATGTGAGGTCCAGCACCAAAATCTACGGTGATGCGGTCATGTATGGTGCATGCCGAAACACCGTTTACCAAGTGAATGTTATCCGTGCTCAGTAAGTCAGCTATGGACCACATACCTGGGGTACTTTAGTTGCAGCTGTTACAGTTCTATTCACCGAGAAAATGGGAGGCATAGCCATGCGTTGGGGTTGACGGCCTTAACTATTGAACCAAATAGCTCTGATTAACTGGGATCACGAGCAGAAGCTGAAGCGCCACTGACTGCATGACTGAACCATATCCGTAGGTATCAGGTCACGTTTGGGGCGAGATGGTCCAAGTGGTTAGAGCGCAGATTTACTGAGCAAAATGTCCGTGGTTCGAACCCGACCTCTGCCTCTCGACTTCCCCTGTCTAGGATTGGGCAACCTGGCAGCCCTCGTGCTTCCTTCGGGTGGCATGGCAGTTAGGCACCGAAGGGGTGCTACAGCTGAACGAGTGGGCTTGGTCACCGGGGTCCCTATTCAAGCTGACCAGCTAGTTTAACTGGTTATAGCTCTTAAAAGTCACCGCTAGGCCACAGATAGCCACACACATCGATCGTTTCCACCCAGTAGTCGACTGGGCAAAGAAAGCCGCGCGGGGAAGACCAACTTCAGGCCCACCCATCCTAACCAACATAATCTATGGAGCATGATAGCTCACCAATCTGGAAGGAAGTTCCCTTAATAAAGTCAAATGATGTGGCTGAGTGCTGCTAATTTTTCACTGGGCTCTGTAAAGCCTTCGGATACTCAAACACCGGAATTCTTCGTAGGCAATACGTCTCTGACCCATAGAACAGTGTGGTTCAAAACACCTGGTGCACATCTTGACCTTGAAAAACAAGTTCGTTCAGAATACTCACCAAAGTCCCATGAATAGGTGTGCACAGCTGGAGGTTTTGTTATTGCACTCGACTGATTAGGAGGAGGCGGTCTCTTGGGGGTAGAACTGGAGGCGTAGGCTGTCTGGTGGGCGACTTGCTTGAACAATATCTTCAAGGAGTTCACTTCCCTACAGAAAACAAAGAGAATGACTAAAATATCACACAGAACACAATGCAATTCGTTCACATAGGCGAGAGATAGGTTGCTATATCTGCTGATTCGCCAATCTGTGGTATCTGCTGCTGACCCGCTCCAGAGCCTAGTGCCGGAGACAAAAGACTCACAGAAGGGAACACAACAGCTATATTCCAACGAGCGAGTGCGAAAAGTACAACGTTCTCAAGCTATTTATTGGAGGGACACTGTCTGACCTTGGTCCAATGCTGACGCACACGGTCTGGCTTTGGTACGAGACTGTGACGTTCTGCATACTGCGGGAGCGTTGTCTGACTTTGATCAACGCTAACTCTTGCTGTCTGGGTTTGATACAAGGCTGTGGGGCGCTGCATGTTGAGGGGGTGTTGTCTGTCTGGTCAACATCTGGCGGAGCTGAGAGTCTCGGTAGATTTCGGGCATTCAGTGGTTGCTTTTAGGAAGCTAACCTTCTTGATATAGATATTGTCCAAGAAAGATGGCAACAGAAGACCTTTCATCACATGTGTTTGTCGCTGAGCGGAGCTGGATGTACTTAGCATGTTGACATTGGTATTCACTCTGATGTGGCTAAACCGACTCACCGTTTTTGTGCTCTTTGGTTCGACTAATGAGGCACTTTCGAGCAGCACACACTCCACACACGACAGCGACAAGGTCAAATATCCTAAGGGGCGAGATGGCCCAAGTGGTTAGAGCACGAATTTACTGACCGAAAGGTCCGTGGTTCGAACCCGGCCTCTGCCTCTCGACTTCCCCTGTCTAGGCCTGGGCAACCTGGCAGTATCCCAGCCCTCGTGATACCTTCGGGTGGCATGGCAGTTAGGCACCGAAAAGGTGCTACAGCTGAACAACTTTTTTCTGAACGGTGTAACGAAGGAGCGATACCCAAAGACAGCCAGATTGTTCTGGATCGGCAAACATTTCGTTAAAGTAAAGAACATCTGGTGAGATCAATCCATACACAGGTCATCAGATTTTGAGGACAAATTGCAGCTATTAACTGGAGGGTTACGTGACCGATTTTAATTATACTAACCCAAAGCATCCAACTAAGGACATTTAGTCCGATTCAGAGGTTCGATACCTAGTTGGAAAGGCGGCCTGAATACTCATGAGTAGTCATACCGTGGAACAAGTTGAACACACTAGCGCTAGCTAAACAAATAACCAACCGTCAACGACTGATCGCCGATCGCGTCAACCTGACGATATCCGCTTAGTGCTGCTAGCTAAAGAGTGGAGCGACTGGTGCCACTTGGGTCTACATACAGTCTTAATGAAGACGAAAGGCCTCGTACGGCTGAGAATTTTCGGGATCCGACGAACAAAACTGATCTCCTTCAAGGAGAGTCAACTAAAGGTGGCCTCTTCAGAGAAGTGTTATGGCGAAATTCCATGAATAACGAACATAAGTGTTGGAGATGGAGACGGAGTTAAAGGCGAGCAGCCAAATCTGGTTGATCGTCTGGAAGGGATGGCTCAAGTGGTTAGAGCGCCACTGACCGGAAGGTTCGTGGTTCGAACCCTAACTCTGTCTCTCAACTTCTCCTATCTGGGCTTGGGCAACCTGGCAGTGTCTCAGCCCCCGTGGCACGGCAGCTGGTCACCGGAAGGGTGTTGCAGCTGGACGATTTATTATTTTCATCTCATATTGTATATTTAAAATGTTACTAAATAACACGGATCTAAACAGAGGCCGCCTTCGACGAAGCAACCATTCACAAAGAGAACCCAGATCGGTCCTCCCAGGTTTCTATTCTAGACCACGATTGTGCCCTCCGATGATGAAGGCCTGTCATGCGGGCGAAGGAGTCTAACAGGAGAGGCGGTTGGGAGTTGGGAGAACGTCGCACGTTTGGTGATAATGACCCTATTTGCACTTGGCTGCCGAATACAAGAGGTCTCTCGGTGGCAATATGGTTACAGGAGAAAGCACTGAGAATAGAGATGAGGTTGATCATCTGAAACTTCCTTTTACGGTATTTTTAACTGGACACAATGCAAAAAGGCCGCCTCATGATTCAATCGACTGGGTTTTCGAGATACCACGGTACAATTTCTTCGAAGAACACTATTCATAAGGTTGCTGAAAACTTTTCGACAATTCACGACCGGTTTTGCTCCGCTTTAGGGATCATCAGGTGGACTTGGTCCCAGAGTTCCCGTCAACTCTATGTCCCACTTAAATCCGAAATGCAAGAACTTTGCGAAGTATATCCACTTGAACACCAATTCGGTTTTAACGGGACACTCAAACGAATCTCACCCGTTTTTCTTCAACTTAGTGGGTTGCAAAAAGACCACCTCATGTTTCAGTTGTTGGTAGGATATTTGAGATACCGCAGTGTATTTCCTTGACGCAACACATTACTTATAAGGCTGTTGAAAACTATCATCACCAGCTTCACCCTTCTTAAGGCTCATTAGGTAGGCGCGGTCTCTGAGTTTCCGTCAACTAGAACCCCAACCGTCGCTTTCTGTGGCTGGAGATCGTAACATACACAGGCGCACGGGTTGAGAAAGTTTAAACTAAGACGAGTTAATCGTACGATTTAACGCGTGTATATTTGTCTCTCTATTACGGGTGAACTACGACAAGCCGCAGGTAGGAAACAATGGCCCGCTTGTACAACTCTTTGAGTGACCTTGACACAGTTTTGTGGCTTGCTCAACTTGAGCTCACCGTTTCAAGTTTAATACACGCTCGTCGTTATCTCGCTCCGGACTTCTGTTCGACATTACTCATCCGCTGCGAATATGTGCCCACGTGTGATTTCACCAAAACACTGATTTCCATATCTGCTCATTTCTGTATCGGCGTACGCCGTCACTACATCCCTGTGGACGTCAAGTGCTGTTGCCTTCCTGAGTGCTCAGGTGAACCAGAATGAAAAAAATCGTTCTGCTGTAACACCCTTGCGATGCCTAGCTGCCGCGAACCCCGACGGAGACACGAGGGCTGGATACCGTCAGGTTGACCAAGCCTAGACAGGGGAAGTCGAGATGTAGAAGTCGGGTTCGAACCACAGACCTTCCGGCCAGTAAATTCGCGTTCTAACCACTGAGCACCCGAGCGTGTCAACAAATCGGGAGACAAACGGGGAACATAAAGCTCTCAATCTGGGAACAGATTCGGTCATCTCTGGTGCTCTTCACCACACAGCTGTCGAGTTAATCCTTTGAAAAAACGAACGATCGGCCCACAATGTAGTGATAACGACTTACCCGGCCAGGATGAATCCATCTAGCGAAGAATCACTTATTAAAATGTCACCAATCGCGCTACTGACGGAAGCAAACGGAACGAAGTGGCCCCACACGATTCGACTCCTCCAGAAGGCCGAGCTACCTGCGAGCCAAGAGTGGAAGATAAAAAGAGAACGCTAAATTCGAGTTGAAGAAAGGGCGAATAACACACACCCAAACACGTCATTCGGTACAGCATCCCAATGAGGAACGGGAATTCGCATTTCATGGCCAAGACACGATTGACCAAAGTACAGTGAATTCCCCGTGGAGACCAAGCTACATCATCTGCTCAAACAGGAGATTATCTCTGAAAAGGATTCGCTTCCCTGGAGTATGGAATAGCGTGAAACGCTTCTTCCGGTAGATGCTGACTTCCAAGATTTACTCGAAATCGCTTGTCTCTTGCCGAAGTGATTGTTCTTTCGGGTGTGTAACTCCTACTGCACTGGCTCGCTTCCTCGTCACTGAGAAAAAAGAAGCATTCAGCTGTAGCACTCTTCCGGTGCCTAGCTGCCATGCCACCCGAAGGAAGCACGAGGGCCG